CCCCACTGTGAGGGTGGGGAATAACGATCAAATGGACATCGTTTGCATACCCCAGGAACTCTATCTATCCCATCGGCAACCACGGAACGCCGCGGAATGCTCACAAACCACAAGTAACTACGCATACAGATATCTTGCAGAACCTACCTGGTAATCTGATATCCAGCTGTGCACCACTAACTGGCGTTCTATCTGTATCTCTGACCCTGAATCTCTTCACCTTCGTCATACAACTCTTCCTATATAGCCATGAATATCCTTCACAAAAACCTACATGTATATCCTTAGCCCTAAATATTCCCTTTTATTTCCCTACCAACAAATTTAGATCCCATTTTCTCTATGTGTATCTCTCTCCCTATGTACCCTTCCATATCCTCATAATTGAAGTGTGCACCCAAGCCGCATTCTCCGGAAGCTCGCCATAGTTCTGTCAGGGGCAAGGCAGTGTCTCAAGCCCGATAACGCAGACCCTGACAACATTCAAATGCAGGTTGCAAACCCACTGGCCTTTTGGCCCAGTTAGGCCTGCATAGACCGCCGATGATTATAGACCCTGATAATCCAACCCTTCCGTATGTAGTTAAAGAGTCTGAATATTCGCGACGGCTTTGGTAACTCCAACCCCTATAATTATTACCCTATAACTATCGTTTATGACTCTGATAGGGTCCTCATTTTAGAACTAGAATATACAAGGTCAGGATAACAAGGGGGAGCAAGTACACCATGCAGTCAGCAGCAGAGGCCGCCCCCCAAAGAAATCTACACATCCCAACCATGAGCGGCCGCGAGATCTGGACCCTACACCCTAAACCCTGAAGCCGACATCTCTTAAACCACTCAATGCCCAGCCGCAATACCTAGCACAAACCAGCCTTCGATGTCCTAGAGTTTTATCGATCCCCAATGTGGTTCCCACAAATGGGCGGCCCAACATGGATGCCAATAGCCTGTAACCCTACTATGGGGACTCCCAAGCAAGGAGCCGTAATTTCGGAAACCCTAATCCGTATGACGCATGATCCACCCATACAAGCCCAGTTCCCACTTCATGTCCATTATTTGATGTTCATCTTGAGCTATCATCTAAACTCCTAAAGTATACCCTTTTATAACCCCCACAATACTCCCCAATATAATCTTCCATATAACCGCCCTTTACCGAGTTTTAGGCTATAGCTCTTATTGGGAAATATCCCCGGCTGGGACTCTAGGAAACTTGCACATGGAGCCTTCAAGCTTCGAGCTTCCTCGGCTGTATACTTGGTGATGATGTCGCCCTTCTCATCCTGGTCGAGGGATTGGGACATAGGGTGCTTAGAGTAAAGGAAGAATGGTCAATCATATAGAGCTTATATCCTATGCAGGTGTAGTCAAGCCGTTACACTTCTCAATTTGGTGATAATGGAAGAAGACAATGAAATGCACTATGCAGCATCGTACGTTACATTCAATCCTCGGTTTCATCAGTCATGTTGAGTGTTGCTGATGTGTGCCGTGGCAGCGATGGTCACAACTGCCACAGCCCTGGAGTCATATTGGCTGGAGAACTGTGGATGGAAGTACTTCTCAAATAGTGGCAACCATACTGATACTAACAACAAGCGCGTCCTCAATTGCGAGAGCAAAGCTTGAAGTGGCAGCTTAGCAGCACACAGCAACGGTTAAGAACAAGTCGCAGCATGAAGAGGAACGCCACGACGGGAGACATGCCATATCCGCAGACAAGTACGCAGCCGACTCGTCATGACAATAAGCCTCGTCGCTATCCGAGCCCCAAACCCCAGAGTCCAGCCCAGAAGAAGTCAATACAAATCCCAAACCAGAAGCCTTATCCCCCGACTCAGGAGCCCAGGGGCACCGGATTGGACTTTCCTCACTTCCGACTCAAGTTCTTGGAGGCTGCTTTACAAAAAACTAAATCGGAGACGAGACCTAGATGGTAACTTCCCAAAATTAGGGGACCGCAATATAGACCCCAATATACTATAGTCCAGGTACCCCTACTTTAAGGAACCCCCCAGATCTCGTCTCCAAGAGCTGCAGGAACTGTACCCCGCGGCTGCGTATGCATTGAGAGCCTTCCGATAAAGGAATATGAAGACAGCCAGATCATGACTCATGACCAGGAAGTGCTGTCGAGCCCCCACCTCTACATGTGTGTACCTTGATGTTGGCACTAGAGATAAAGCCAGGGGTTGCCTCTAATATAACTTCTCATTACATGGACACCGAAGAATAGAACCCTTCATAAACAGAAACCTCCTATAATACAGGGTCATGCAAAGGCAGGGAGGAAAGTCCGGACCTGGAAGTCGCGAAGGGAAACCAAGACAATATCGCCCTGGTTGCACCACACCTTCTTCCTCATCTTACCTCACTTGGCTGGGTTGCTGTTAAGGAACTTAAACTAAGTTACTATATTGGGGGAACCCTATTATTTACTATATATACCCATTATGGTAACTTAAAGTTCCGTAACAGCAACCCAGTTACCTCACTTGGTGCGGCTAAAGCTTCACCTGTGACTCTGGTTATCTACAGATGAAGAGGTCGCACTACGAACAGGGGGTAAATGTATATACACCTAGAGGGAGGTGCATTACTACATGATAGCTCTGAAAGACTATAGGACATTACCCGGTCATCGCTTGAGTATTAAGAGCCAGCAACAGGGTTGACACGAAGGAGCTCGGGATGTGTGAGTCGCGCATTCTTAAGTATTGGCTTGAACAAAACGTTGTGCAAACGTCTCGAGCGCCGCAGAGGCCTCTCAAGCGGTTTCGGTAAGCTGGTAAGCAAAGAACGCCAGGATGAGCCATTCAGAAAGCATTATATCTTGCAAGGAGAAGAGGCAAATTCCAGAATCCAGCAGCAAAATACTCAGAAGGATGACGTTTTGACCAGTGGCCTTGGTGCCTCGTTTTCTCACGTGGCCTCTGATACTTGCGTCAGCGCCTGATCAACCAGTACCTGCGCTCATACCCGACACTTTGAAACGCTGCTCAAGTCCTGCAACGCTCTCCCAATGCCCATGCCGGCTTGGGGTTTGCAAAAACAAGCGGCCCAGAATAGATCCCAACATACTCTAACAGAAACTCTCAGAAGGGCACTAACTTTTGCAAGCCATAAACCTTGCGCACCGATATACAAACCGATACACCCCCTTTACGGGACCCCTAGGGTGGATACGAAAAATCCTGCATGACCCTAAGTACCGTATACCTTGGGACTTATGGTGCTATAGTGAATTCTGGTCTCCTTGGAGCTATAATTCAAACACTATAACAAGAATTAAGCTCAATTCCTAAGGAGACTGTAGCACTAAAGTCCTGCAGAATTTTGGGAATCAACAGTAGTTTGATGGTTCCTGACTCAATGGCCAAAATGCCGCGGATGTGGCACAGCCTGGGCTTGGGCAACGAAACAAAAACAGATCCCACTAAGGGTTAAGGTCCAGAACCCACTTAGGGCTTTAGGTCAGAGCCAGGGTTAGAGACATACAGCTTAAGAGTGGGGAATTTAATGAACAAGAAAACGGCTAAATGCAAAGGGAGACAAGAATGGTTCACAGTGGTTGGTCAAGCCAGTTTTATTACGACACACGAGTGGTCTCCAATAGATATCATAGTAGTACTACACAAGGGACCATTTCCAAGTGGGGAAAGACGGCACAGGATCGAAAGCACTGCGTCAAATCAGGAGTCTGCATTGTTAGGAAACCGTCATCTGCAAGTTTACTGGTCTCCTGGGAACGTCACTTGACTCCAATATACGGTTTAGGGGTCTAGGGTTTTAAGGTTTAGGGCTTCCCAAACCCTTGGGCTAGACTGGAGACCCCAAGGTTCCGAGAGTACTGTACAGCTTGATCCAGTGCAATTGCAAGCGTTGGTCAACGAAGGCGGCTGATTTGGAAAAAAGGCTATCCAGCCATAGGAGCTGCCGGGTTGACGACAGAGACGGTAATGAAGGGGCTTTAAATAATTGCCCATACCATTTTGAGATGTATTTGAGGTACTCTATATCAAAAGTATGCGAGGACGCAAAGGGTCACATGAGCAAAAGTCGAACTCCTTAAGTGAAAGTGGGTTATATCGGGAAGCCCTATAGGGATTATGAAGGGGGATACTTGGAGTTTAGACTATACGTCACATAGTGTGGAAGGTAAGAGCCGGAAAGCTGCAAACACCTTGAGCCAAGGAATTCTCAAGCTCAACTTTAAATACTTCGAAAGTAAGGAGCCATCACATACCCTATAAGGTGCAAGTAGTGAAGCTACTGATCATCTTGCAGTTTCCCAAGCCTGTATCCTAAACCCTAGACCCTGATAAGCAAGCCCAAGTACTGCATACTTGGACTTTTTGGGATCAAATAGCCCTGTATAAACCCTATATAGAATCCCTCTAGAATTTAGAACCCCATATAGAATACCTCTATAATTCGGATATACCTTCCTTCACGGAACCGCTTGGGTCGGGAAATGTGGATTTAGCGGGGGTATTTTGGCAACTGCCCCCAGGCCTAACAGTCTATATTAGGATTCATATGCAAAGCTACATATATAACTATGTCATAAAGAATATCCAACTTCTGCAATGCAGGTGGTGCAGTACCAAAGGAATATTTTCCAAAAACTTATGAGCCATTGTCTAAACTCCTAGCATCCCCCTTAATAACCCCTGTGGTAGTCCCCAAAAGAATCCCCTATATAACCCCTTGTAAGGAGTTTAGACTATAGCTCTTATGACTACTGGAGTAGCCCTTCACCCTGGGACTTCTGAGATTCATTTCCTCGGTCCCAATCAAGTATCACCGACATGTACACCTCCTGCCCCAGCACCCTTGACACCAGCTAGCACTTACTGTCTGAAGTATATGTAGAGGGCACCGCAGCTGCGTGGATATAGTTGGCGGGGATCAGAAGGGCGGTGCCCGCAAAAGCTCTCTCAAAGGGTGACTCTCTGCTGCTACGATTTCCCGAAATTTCACTGTATTCACATGGATCTTTTCATTGTGCCCAAAAAATACGTGATCTGGTGCCAGTAGGAATCTGAATCTCTAAGTCAATGCACGACGAAATCCCAAGACGTCCAGCCAAATTGCCGCTTCACGCCGTCAACACATTGCACATCGCAGCGGCCATTTCCCAACATACGGGTAATTTGCCCGTATTCCTGGCATCTCACGTGCATCACAGTGGGATGTGATGGAGAGGGGCTTCAACTTCTGGGCTTCTTTCTCAGAAGCCGCTCTAGTCAAGACAGGGGGGCATCACTCTGAGACAAAGCAATCTTGCGAACATAATAATTCTGCGTACCTCGTGCGGTGTCAGTATGCGCGCAGGTTTTGTTAACAACCCGATGCATGCCTTTCAAACTCTCAGGACGAAACGGTCCAATAGAATTACACATCGATCTGGAAGGAGATCACGAAGGAAATCCGGAACAGGAATCCTGACGCCAGAGCTCCGCACCTGCACTCCCTACCTAAGAGAAGACCTGTCGCCCAGGAAAGAGTAAAGAGTAGCATGAAGATAGCGCCCAAAATGTCAGTAATCCCCTCACCCTAGTATTAAACCCCCCCACCCCCTCCTAATATTAAATACTCCCCAGTGTAACATATTATAATCTCTTGGGAGTATTTAATATTAGGGGGGATGGGGGGCCTAAACCTTAAAGCCAAAACCCTAATAAGAACCCCTATATACCTCTTTAAGGGTGGGGGGCTCAATGCTAGGGGGAGGCGGTTAGCATGCACCAGGAAGCCCAACACAAGAAGTCAGTCTTGTAGAAACACCAGAAAATACTGAATCGATAGAGGGGTTATATAGGGGTTATATACTGAATCAAACCACCTCGTCTAGGCATTTGGTCTTTGAGTTCCACCAGGCCAATTCTGAAGTCTGAGCCTCCCGAGCGATAACTTTAGCAAGGCGTTGCCCAAACAACCATGATCTACACGGTCATGTCAACCCCCAGTAGATAAACCCTCTCCCCTTACTGGGGATTATAATAGCGATCCACCTGTAAAAGGAGCGGGTTTTTAAATCAGGGGTCTACATTAGGTGGACCCCCCACCCAGTAATAGTGACTATAAGGAATAATGGTAACTATATTAGGGTGCTCTTATAGTTCTATTATACCACTATTACAGGGTGGGGGGTCCTCCTAAGGTCTACAGCAGGTGAGCGTCACCTGTAGAGTTTCCTGGCTAAGCGGCCACCACCAGGGATGTCAAGCAAAGAGGTCCAAGCAGTTACGGGATAAATTCTTCCCAATAGGTCCCCTCTCTTCGTTACGCGAATTTTGGCCCTCATCATACTTCTTGTCGGTGGTCGCTAGGCTAGGGTTGAAGGACTCTTCAAAACCAAAGAAGGGCGTCTTGTTTCCGACGCCAGCTTCCAGATTGCTTACTGACCCTCCTACGCAACCTTACTCCGAGACTACCGTCGAATGCTACAGCTACACTAAACTGTTTTCGCTGCAGTTGCATCTACTTTGCGCTTGCCACCGCCGACCCGCTGCTGCAAAACCAGCAGCAGCAAGAGCAGCGTTGGCGGCTGCAGCTGCAGCTGCCGTTTTTTGAGTAGAAAACACTCATAGGCCCGCCTGCCCGTCCTCTTTGAACTCCAGCTCCTTCTTGTTGTTCTCGGTGCTCGCCTGGCAGCAAAACTGCTAACAAAGTGCCCTTTTTCCTTCAGCATTCTAGCCGCAGGCTGTGCAATCTTTGCGTCCGTTTAAGGTGTCAAGATGCGTTCTGACTTCACGACTATACTTTCATACTTGTACCCAACCAGCAGTGACAGTCTGATTTCTGCTCTTCTTCATGCAATACTTGCCGCTAGTGCTAGTGCTGTGGATGGAGGAAAGCTCTCACCACAATATATATTGTCTCCAAATTGTGGTAATCACAATTACTTTGAGGACACCAGATGGCGCAACGACGACGATGATCATGACAACTACCATGATCACCACCACGAACAACACCAACACAACTGCTTGTTCTACTGCTGCCACTGCGACCACTAGCACTAGATACACTACTGCCACTTTTGCTGGTGCTCCTATCGCTGTGATCAGTACTATGGCAAACACATACAGCACAACCATCACCGCTACAACAAACACTGCTACTGGTGATGGAGCAATTCTTGCACCACCTTAAAGCCCCTGAAGTCACAGGAATTACTGTGGGCTTGAAATGGTGCAAGATTTCATCCATCAACAGTAGCAATAATGATAGTAACAGTTGTTTTAACAGTAATAGGAACAGTAAGTAGTGATTAGTAATTTATAGCTGGTGGTTAGTAAATAGCAATAGTGCTACCAATTATAGTATAGTAATATACTAGTTCAGTAGTCTAGAAATCCTAGTGATATGGCTATATGTCAATATAGTAATAGTGTAATAGTAACCTAGTAACATGGTCTTACAGTCGTAAGTATTTCCGTTGCCTGGCCTTTGCGCGCTTTGCTTTGTTACCGCCAAGCTTGTTCTTAGGCATGGTGGCAAACCTGAGCCCATTGCCGGAATCTGTCAAGAGATTTTGAATTCTGTAGGTGCGTGGCTTAGCCTTGAAGTTCTACGGGTTCAGGGTTTATCCATGTGAGAGTTTGGAGTTCTATGGGTATACTTAGCCTTGTACGAATTTGGATTTCTATGGGTTCAGGGCTTAGCCTTGTGAGAATTTGGGCACCCTTAGGGAAGACTTCCCAATCTTGGCGGATCGAACTGCTGTTGCAACAGACCAAGACGTCTCAGGCTAAGTGACAGTTTCCGCCCCTGCCTGCCGGAGCATGGCCTAGTCTGTTTGAAACTGAAAGTTTAAGCCTCAGAGGTCCTAAACAAGTAGGTCTAGTATGAAACTTAAGGGCTAGATTAAAAGAGACCATCAGAAATCATCCGTATTACCTGGTCACAGCGCACGCTTTTCCGTAAGGGTCTGTAGCTAATCGGAACGACCGCCAGCCCGGCTCTCGAGCTCATCTAGCGCTTCAACTACTGTGCAGTAGTACCCCATCCCTGAAATGTATATTCCTGAAACCCTGTCGCGGATGAGTTTTCAACTATGGGCGCAGGATGTGGATTTTGGACTTAGGGTGCTCGTTTCCAACATTTGGACTGTTATTGTCCTTATCATCACTCTTTTCCTACCCTCACCCCCCCCCCCCCCCCAATTTGCCTGT